CGCCCTCCTGCGGGCGTTCCGCTGGGCGCGCGTGGCCCTGGTCACCGCGCCGCAGGACCTGTGGGTGGAGGCTGGCCGCGCTCTGGCCGCGGCGCTCCGGGCCCGGGGTCTGCCCGTCGCCCTGGTGACCTCCATGGAGCCCTCGGACCTCGCTGGCGCCCGGGAAGCCCTGAGGAGGGTCCGCGATGGGCCCAGGATCAGAGGTAGGCTCCCCTGGAGGGTGGGGTGGCCGCGGTTCCCGTGAGTGGCGGCGCGGGGCGGCGAGCAGAGCCTGTGTCCGCAGCAGTGATCATGGTGATGCACTCGCTGCTGCTGGGAGGCGAGGAGCAGCGCCGCCTGCTGGAGGCCGCAGAGGAGCTGGGCCTGGCCGACGGCTCCCTGGTCTTCCTGCCCTTCGACACGCTCCACTACGCCTTGTCGCCAGGCCGGGAGGCCTTGGCTGCACTCGCCAACAGCTCCCAGCTTCGTAGGGCCCACGATGCTGTGCTCACCCTCACGCGCCACTGTCCCCCGGAAAGCAGCGTGCTGGACAGCCTGCGCAGGGCCCAAGAGATACAGGAGCTGCCCCCTGACCTCAATCCACAGCAGGTAGAGGCACCAGGGAGGAGGGAAGAGGGAAGAGCCAGGGAAGAGGGAAGGAGATGGCCAAAGCCAGTAGAGGAGATGGGGGCCTATTGGGAAAGAGGGGAATGGAGTCAATGGGAGAGAAGAGAAGAGAGTCAACGCTAGAGAAGGATAGAGGCAATGAGAAGAGAAGTGAATAGAGCCAATGGAATGAGGGAAGATGGAGTCAGTGGGAAGGAGGCAGATGGAGTCGACAGGGAGAGAGTTACCCGCAGCTCTAGTTGCCCTGGAGTATTCTGGGTCATGTAGAGACTCTGGTCTGTCTTGGGGCATCTTAGTGTATTGGGAGTGTCTCCGGAGAGTAGGCGATGCCACCTCTCAATCCCAGCTCTAAGGAGCAAACACTGATGAATTCTAAGTTGCAATGTCTTTTGCAATCTACTTCAAAGTAAACCCATTCTCAGTACCACAGCAACATATAGTCTATAATAAACATCTAGTGTTCTCAAAAGGAAGTTTCTGGGTGGTGCAAATGGTTAACAAGCTAGGCTGCTAACTGAAAGGTTGGAGGTGGTTGTTCAAGTCTACTCAGAGGCACCTTGAATAAAGGCCTGTCAATCAGCCATTGAAAACCCTATGGAACACAGTTCTACTCTGACACACGGGGGATTGCTATGAGTTGAGTCCACTCAATGGCAACTGGTTTGGTTTTGGGTTTTTTTGGCTCCCAAGAGAGCAGGGAGGAGGGAGGATGCAGATCCAGCCTTCATGCCTAGTGCAGAGGTATTTGTCCTCTGGGGCCTCTTCTGGTAGTCTTAACTTCTTGAGGGCCTTGACATTTTGTGAGAAACAGAAGGGTCTCTAGTTAGAGCTAGGGACTCCCACAATAATTTAGATCCATAGCTTATTCTCGGCGTCCAGCTGATACCGAAGATTCTCTGCATCCCTGGAATCCCAGTTTAGACCATCTAGCTCCAACTCAGTGACAAAATGAGGGCTAGAAACCACTAAGATACAGGGGACTCTGAATGTTATTGGGCAGTAAATTAACCTCCATAAAGGCTCTACCCAAAGGGGACTACATAGGACAGGGCTATGGGTCAACGGAGCTTGAAATATAATTCCCTAACAGCCTCCTGCCCAAGAGGAGCACACCAATTCCCCTGCTCCTCCTCCAGGACGGCTTGAGGTGGCCAGTGTGGAGAAAGGAGGGGCAGAGTCATGAAAGCAAGAGTTAGAAACAGTGGTAAAATGGGGAAAAGAGTCAGGAAAGAGAGGATGGAGGATGGGTCAGTCAACGAAGAAAGAGGGGGCAGAAAATTGAAGTTTTCCAGTTCTCAGTAAGTGACACAGCCCTCCACCCAGCTGCCCAAGCTAGACCCCTGAGAGTCACCCTTGATTTCCCTATCCGTCTTCCCTCACATCCAGACATCAAGTCTGTCACTTTTACTTCCTCGAGATCATTTGAACCCATCCACTTTTCTCCATCCTCACTGCCACAGCCCTGGATCAGGCCACAGCACCTCTGGCCCAGATCCAGCAACAAATAGTCACCCAGGTGGTCTCTGCTTCAAGCCTCACCTACTCTAGGTCTTTTCCACTCAACATCCAGAGTGAGCTTCTAAAATACAAATGTGGCCATGTCAAGTCCCTGCTTGAAGCTTCCCCAGGGGCTTCTCTCACCCTGGATAGATGCAGTCTCTTTACATAGGTCTTCGTGTCCTCCTTTCCCTTTGCTCCTTCTTGTGCTTCAGCCAGAAGGAATGAATTTTGGTTCCCTAAATGTGTCCTTTCCTTTTGCCTCTGAGCTGCTAGGTGTGCTAGGTCCTCTCTCCTGCCCTGGCCCTCCCTTGACCACCTGGCTAATTCCAACGCATCCTTTGGGTCTCTGCTTGATGGTCACTTCCTCTGGAAGCCTCCTTCCCTCTTCCTCCTCCCCTAGCCTGAGTGGGGACCCCTTTTGTGTCTCGCAGCTCACTCAGTTTCCCCTACCATGTCACTCATTGCACTAGCTCAACATTCCTGCCTGTCTCCCCACAAAACTGAAGGCTCCTTGAAGGCAGGGACTCTGTCTTGTACACTCATATATCCCTAGTGCTTTGCACGGTGTCGGGGACATAGCCAGTTAATATTTGTTAGCCTTTGAGAAACGGGAACTAGGAATAATAGAGAGGTGTGATGAGATCTGGTGGTAGCCTTGGGGAAAGAAAAGAAATAAAAATAGAAAATAGAAGTCAATCAAAGTGTGGGAAAAAAGGGCTTTTGGGTGAAAGGTAGGCCCAGTTCCAGTTGCTATTGACTCGGATTCATGTTGACCCCATGTGTGTCAGAGTAGAACTGTGCTCCAAAGGGTTTTCAATGGCTAATTTTTCAGAAGTAGATCACCAGGCCTTTCTTTTGAGGCACCTCTGGGTAGATTCAAACTGCCAACCTTTTGTTTAGCAGTCAATCATGTTAACCATTTGGACCACCTAGGATTCCTGAATGGTAGATAATCCATTATTGTCGAGTCCACTTATAGTAACCCTATAGGACAGAATAGAGAACTGCCCCATGGGATTTCCAAGGCTGTAATCTTAACAGAAGCAGATTGCCACATCTTTCTCCTGCAGAGCAGCTCATGAGTTGGAGCTGCCCAGCTTTTGGTTAACAGCCTAGCTCTTAACCACTGCACCACCAGGGCTCCTTCCAAAGGTAGGTAATGTGATTAAAACTATATGCAGGGTAACCAAAAGGAAGGAGAAGAAAATGATCTGTAGGTGATGGAAAGTTAAAGTTAACCAATGGTAAGAAGAGCCTGAGAGTCCGGGGGAGAAAGGGTGGGATAGCCAATGAGGAGAGAGGAAGAGAGAGCCAATGACGAGGGATCTGGGGAGCCACTAAGTAGGAGATGGAAACAGTCAACACTCGGAGGACCTGGCTGGTGAGCGGATAGGCGGGAGCGGTGAGGTCACATCTGTCTGCGGGCCATGGTCCCGGACCCTAAGCCTCCTACTCTCCTTCCCCAGGTGTCCCCGCTCTTCGGCACCATCTACGACGCGGTGTCCTTGTTGGCGCGGGGCGTGGCGGGGGCGCGGGCAGCCGGAGGTGGTGGCCGGGTGTCCGGAGCAGCTGTAGCCCTCTACGCCCGGGACGCCCAGGTCCCTGGCTTCTGCGGGGCGCTGGGGGGAGTCGAGGAGTCCCCGTTTGTACTGCTGGACACAGACGAGGCGGGGGACCAGCTGTTCGCCACATACACGCTGGACCCCGCCCGGGGCTCCCTCCGCTCCGCTGGGAACCCGGTGCACTTCCCTCGCGGGGGACGGGGGCCTGGGCCCGACCCCTGGTGCTGGTTCGATCCCGACGACATCTGCAACGGAGGTGAGGGCGCGCTCCCTCCCCTAGTCCTCACTGAGACATCACCATGGACTGTCCACAAAGTGGTGAAAGAGAGTGAACTCCCGTCCTCTTCCAGACCATTCCAGGTCCTCCTCTGACCCGGCCTGTGCAGGACCTCTCTCTGGCTGAGCTCCCAAAGCTCTCATGGAACCCTTCCGGGATTCTCAGACCCTCCCATCTGAGGAATCCATGACCTTGCCCTAGATCCCGTCCTGGCTCCCCCCTCTTTTCCTGGTGCTCCCAGGACTGGACAGGATCCCGTACCTCCCCCTTGCCAGGGTCCTGAGCGTCCCTCCCCCACTGCCCCTCCAGGAGTGGAGCCCGGCCTCGTCTTCCTTGCCTTCCTCCTGGTGGTGGGGATGGGGCTGACCGGGGCCCTCCTGGCCCATTACCTGAGGTGAGTAGGGGTGAGGTGAGTGGGAAGTGAGCCTGGCTCTCCACCTGCCAGAAATACACCCAGGCAGCAAAGACAGCAGGGCCCTCAGGAGCAGAAGAGGGAGGATGGGGTGGGTACTAGAGGGGTGGCAAAGTCCCAAGGGATGTCTGCCCTCCAATGTCCCTCCCCTGAGCCAACATTACCCACCGCCTCTCCCTGCTGTATTCTCATGGGCCTTGGTTGCCTTTTCTGAGATGACCTTCTTACCCTGCCAGGCACCGGCTACTTCACATCCAACTGGTCTCTGGCCCCAACAAGATCATCTTGACTCTGGATGACATCACCTTCCTCCACCCACAGAGAAGCAGCTCTCGGAAGGTGGGAGAGGCAGGGAGCTGGGATCCAGCTGTCCTCTCCCTGTATACCTGGTCCCCTCCCTGGGACAGTCCTCCTCCCAACCCTCACCTGGGGAGGCCTGGGTTCTGCCCCAGCTCTGCCCCAGTCTGAGCTCCGGGGATCAGCAACCTCATCTGCACAAGAGCAGTAATAGCCCCTGTCTTGACTGCTTTCTGGGGGGTTGTGAAGCTCCAACAAGAAAATGGACCTAAGTTTGTTTTATAAACTGTAAAGTGCTGTGCACTTAGGGACCAATGTCATTATCACCTTCCCTAGTTGATATTCCTTCCCTCTTCCCTCTTTAATCTTCACTCTAACCTCTGGTCTCTGACCCCAGGCTATATTCTGACCCCTTGCCCTCACCTCTGCCCTCCAGGTAGTCCAGGGGAGTCGATCGAGTCTGGCTGCCCGCAGCGTGTCAGACATCCGCAGTGTCCGCAGCCAGCCCCCTGACAGCTCCAACATTGGCCTCTATGAGGTTAGCCTGACCCCCGGCCAGGCCAGACTCTACTCCTGGAGGAGGAGTGGGAGAGGGACTCTCAGGACCTGGGCCAGGGGAGAGGACCGTCTCTGGGGAGGCATGGAGTCATGTCAAATCCGGGAGACTCCAGAAGGAGGGATGGGAGTCTGGAGGAGATCTAGGGGAAGGTCATGGATTCCTCAACAAGAATGTCTGGGGATTTTCCCATAGTCATTATCCAGGTGAGGGCTTCTCAGCAGCCAGTCACAGTGGCCCAGATGCTTGAGGTCTGAGCTGGGGGGGAGGGGGAGGGGGCATTCTGGGACTAACATGCAGTCTGGTGTGGCCACTAAGGCCACTCCTTACCTTGTTGGGAACCCCTGGGCTGTGATCCAAGCCTTCAGGTTACTGACGGGGGAAGGCCTTTCTGGAAAGGTTAGGGCAGAGGGGCATCAGAGATGCCATCTCCTGCTCACATAGAAGACACTTCCTGAATGAGGATCGTGCAGGATGGGGAGCTTCCAGATGGGGCTGTCCCTGACTTAGGCCAGATCCACATCTTGGCCCATGCAGCCTTTCTACCCAATTCAGATCAGACTCAGGAACAGCAAGCCTTAGACAAGGAAAAAAGTCTCAAAGGGCGTTAGGGCATTAACTGTGGGGTCAACAAACCTGAATGTGGTGGGATGGATGGAAGCTAATGAGAGCAGTTTTCAGAGAGAACTCAGCTAGTCAAAGGAAGAATCAGAGCTTGAAAGCTTTGGGTCATGCTGGGAACGCAGAGGCCTCTAGCGTGTCCCCTAGAGATGATCACAGCTGTTAGTCAGGACACTATTGTCATTCTGGGCAGGATGTTCTTGGTTCAGGTATGGGACTACCCTGTGCAATGCAGACTGTTTAGCATCTCTGGCCCTGTCCACTAAATACAGCCCCCAATTTTTATGACAACTAAAAACGTTCCCTCTTTTATTTCCGAATGCCCCCTAGGGGTCAGTACTGAGTCTCCAGAATTCCCTTCTAGTCCAGATCCCTCAGCAACAGACAGGACCAGCTTCATAACAGTTTGTGGGGCCCAGTGCAAAATGAAATGAGGGGCCCCTTTTTCATTCAAGATGATGAAGCAGATCATTTAACCAAGGTTGGGGCCCTTCTGAGCGTGGAGCCCTCTGCAACTGCATAGGTCCTATATCCATAAAGCCAGCCCTGCCAACAGCTGAGGAAAATGAGGCCCAGAGCCCAGAGGGGAGCTGCCTATACTTCACAGTCAGTTTACAGCACAGCCTGATCCACCTGGACTCCTGACTCCCAGCACAGTGTTCTCTCATGGCAATAGATGGCGATGAGGGCTGTGATGATATCAGTGATGGCTGTGATAACAGCTTGGCTGGCTGTAATAGGGCTGTCAGTGAGTCCATCTGGGGTGGTGACAGCCATACAGGCCTTCTGCATATCTCTCACCAGTTGGCTATGAAGTGGGCTGGTATCAAACCCCTTGCTTCTCCTTTTCCCGTGGGAGATGTGTTCTGAGGTAATGGGCCAATGGAAATGTGGGTCTCTAGAGCTCCTGACATCATGGGGGTTCTAAGAGACTGAGTTTCCACCCTCATCCTCTCTGCTCCAGGGAGACTGGGTTTGGCTGAAGAAATTCCCAGGGGATCAGCACATAGCTATCCGTCCAGTAACCAAGACAACCTTCTCCAAGGTGAGGGTTGGGCCAGTGATGGGTATGGGGTGGCCATCAGTTCATCCCTTCCATGCCTTCTCTTTGCAGCTGGGTACAGAGCTAGACCCCAATGTGGGAGAGACAGAGAGGTCTCAGTTAAGCGCTACCTCCTCTCTGGAGCAGGTTTGCCATTATTCTCTTTCTTTTGGTGTTCTTATCACAGTTTGTAATTGCGTGTTCATCTGTGTGCTTGCTGATTTATGATCTGCGTCCTTCACTGGACTGTAAGCTGAGTAAGGACTGCCCCCACCTCCACTACATTGCTACCATCCAGCAGTGTCTGGAACACTATTACAGATCAGTGAATGCTGAGTGAATGATGTTGCTAGTTGCTGTTGAGTTGGCTCCAACTCACAGCAACATTATGTATAACAAAATGAAATGTTGCCTCCTCCTGTGCTGTCTTCATGATCATTGGGATGTTTGAGTCCATGCAGAGTGAATGATAGAAAATAAAAAATGTGTTTCTGGTTCTGTCAGACCACTTGAGCAGAATGGCCCCTGTTGGATTGATACATACTGGAGTGGAAAGTTGGGAAAGAGACCATAAACTGGCCTTTTCTGCCCTTCCAACCTGAGTGCCCTCTCCCCACGATGCCATGCACCTTTGGTCTGGCCTCCTTCCTGACCCCTCCACAGGAGCTCTTGGACACAACTGCAGAATTACTTAGGTGAACGACCTATATGGTTTAACAGACTAACGCACCATTTAATACCGGCTGTTTAAAGTGAAAAGAAGCCCCTTTATTGAGGATGCGTGCAAAAGAAAAGCTAGAAAGGACACCAGTCGCCAATCTAACCCCCGTTTTCCCAGCATGCCTAGAGTGGGAGAGCGGAGTGGGTGAGGCCTTGTCTAGGGCTCTTCTGGGCTTATGGCTTCACTGCTAAGTGTGTGGGGGGAGGGGGGAGGGAGGAGGAGGGGAGGGATCTCAAACACACTTGACCCAATGGATGCAACACCAAGCAAAGCAGCCCCAGGCTGGGTTGAGGGCGTTTCTGGAGTTCCTTGACAGCGGAGCCAGCTTCTCCCTGGTTCTTCCCCCAAAGGCCGTTACATCTGAAGGGGAGGGTGGTGTGCCAGGGGCTTCTCCATCATGAGGTGTTTTCCCTTAAGACCCGGCAGTGCAAAGTTTCACGGTCAATTCTCAGAAGCTGCCTGAGTTCTGATTACCAGTACAAGATTGCCTTTTCATTCATAAATTTAAGGGAAACCATACTCAGTATCTGAACGTGGCCTTTGACTATACTGCCTTTTCCAAAGAGAGAAATATCACCTGCAGAAGAAAGTCCCCCCTAGGCCCTACAATTTCATTCACCTTTAAATCACATCTTCCTAGTTGGAGACTCAACAACAGACCTTGAATAACGGTCCCCTCCCCACGTTGCCCCTGGGGCAGAAAATGCTCGTTAACTTTCCTCCTCTCTCAACTCAGCTCAGGGAACTGCGGCACGAAAACGTGGCCCTCTACCTGGGGCTCTTCCTGGCCCGGGGCGAGGACGGAGCCGCGGCGCCGGGGGAGGGCATCCTGGCTGTGGTCTCGGAGCACTGTGCCCGGGGCTCCCTCCAAGACCTCCTTGCCCAGAGAGACATAAAGCTGGACTGGATGTTTAAGTCCTCCCTCCTGCTGGATCTCATCAAGGTGTGTGTTGTGGGGTGGGGGGTGGTATGGAGGGCTCCTGGGGGCAGGGATCCGCGCGGGCTGAGGCTGCCCATACGCGCCCCTTTCAGGGAATGAGATATCTGCACCATCGAGGCGTCGCCCACGGGCGGCTTAAATCCCGGAACTGCGTGGTGGACGGGAGGTTCGTGCTCAAGGTCACCGACCACGGCCACGGGCGACTGCTGGAAGCGCAGAGGGTGTTACCAGAGCCCCCGAGCGCGGAGGGTAGGGGTCCCGGGCGGCCTCTCACGCGGACAAGCAGCCCCCGGGGTCCCTAGCATTTTAAAGGCTCCTCTCTCCGTCCGCCCTCGCACTGTCACATCCCACGTCCACTGGGCACGACTCCCGCTCCCAAAAAGGTGCTTTGACCTCTTGAGAGATGCGGAGGGTGCGGTCTGCACCGGAAACGCCGGGTGCGTCCCGGGGAAGGAGCCTGTCGGAGGGCAGAGCCTGCGCCCAAGGGGGCGCCTTCTTCCCGGGCACCGCCTTGCCTTCTCTGAGTTGCAGGGCCCCAGGGTCAGACTCAGGCGGAGGAGTTGGGGCGGGGGGGGGGGGGGTTAGTGGGGTCTAGGGGCAAGCCAGGGCTTTCTGAGACGTGCGGTCTGTCCCCAGCGCCCCCATGGTCTTCCGCGTGCCCATGCCCCCTTCCCCATCCCCAGACCAGCTATGGACAGCCCCGGAGCTGCTTCGAGACCAGGCCCTGCAGCGTCGGGGGACGCTGGCCGGCGATGTCTTCAGCCTGGGCATCATCATGCAAGAAGTCGTGTGTCGCAGCGCCCCCTACGCCATGCTGGAGTTGACTCCCGAAGGTACGGCCGCCCCTCAGCCCTCTGAGGGAGTTGGCATCAGAGAGGCAGTCTGCGGTTGGGGTAGAGCCAGGCCAGACCGAGCCTCGCTTTTTCCCCTAAAGCCCAGGGATAAGACTTAATGATGTGGGGGCTCCCCTAAAGCTGGGGTCTGAAGGGTCAGAGTAGTGGAGAGTGAAGCTTCAGGATGTGGTGGGGGGCCCTTCCCTGTCCTGATTCTGGACCCCCAACTGACAGAGCAGGCCCTTCTCTGGTTCTCAGGGGCCCCAGGGTGAAGGGGAGAGGGATAACAAAGACAACACCTACTCGTATTTCTGAGGGTTAGAGAAGAAAATATGTGTAAGGTGCCTGGTACACAGTAGCTGTGCAATAATGCTAGTCTCTGCCTGTGTCACCTCTGGCTGAACCCTCCTACCCTCCAGGGCACCCCCCAGGGCTCAGGGTCCCCTTGTTACTCCCAGCACTCCCCCTCCTATTGAGTTCTAATTTAAAGGAAACCCCTGCTAGTCTCCCCAACTTGGGCTTCAACAATCAGACCAGGGTCAGAAGTGGCTTCTGTTCTGGGGCGCCCACCCCTTATGGTCCCCTCGTGCCCCCAGAGGTGGTGCAGAGGGTGCAGAGCCCCCCTCCACTGTGTCGGCCTTTGGTGTCCATGGACCAGGCGCCCTTGGAGTGCATCCGGCTGATGGAGCAGTGCTGGGCAGAGCAGCCAGACCTTCGGCCCTCCATGGACCGCACCTTCGACCTGGTCAGGGGCTGGGGCTGGCGAGGGCTGGGCTGGCTGCTGGGACTCCAGACTCCTGTCAGTAACCTGAGGAGGCTGCAGGCAGGCAGGCTGGCAGGACCTCTGACTTTCCAGATGACCTCCTAAGGCGTAGCCTGAGGACTGGGCTTTGGTGGGGGCTGTAGAGGCCTTCAGAGTGGGAGACAGAGCTCTGGGTGGGAAAAAATTTAATTCAATTGAGTTAACATTTATTGAGAATTAATATGTGCTTGGCAGAAAGACACTTGGCCTGGGAGACCAAAGCCTGGGCTGGTTCCAGTGTCCTGACTTCTCTGAACCCTCATTTCCTACATACCTCCTAATAATGTCTGGGAACACAGTGCCTGGCACCCCAGGTGCTTGATAAGTAGTAGATGAGTGGGGCGGGGAGGTGGGGAGAAGGCATCATCCAGCCTCATGGGACAGGCACTGGCAGCCCAGATCCTCAGGAGTCCCACCAGCTTCCTCCCACTACTAGTTTAAGGGCATCAACAAAGGCCGAAAGATGAACATCATCGACTCGATGCTGCGGATGCTGGAGCAGTACTCAAGCAACCTGGAGGACCTGATCCACGAGCGCACGGAAGAGCTGGAACTGGAAAAGCAGAAGACAGACCGGCTGCTCACACAGATGCTGCCTCCGTGGGTGCCCATGGGGAGGGCAGCCCGTGTCCAGACAGACTAGGGTGGTCTCCAGGTGTTCTTACTGCATGCCACCCCCAGGTCAGTGGCCGAAGCCTTGAAGATGGGAATACCTGTGGAACCTGAGTACTTTGAGGAGGTGACGCTGTACTTCAGCGATATCGTGGGCTTCACCACTATCTCAGCCATGAGTGAGCCCATTGAGGTGGTGGACCTGCTCAATGACCTTTACACTCTCTTTGATGCCATTATTGGAGCCCACGATGTCTACAAGGTAGAGTGTGTAGGGGGCAAAGGTCCTGAGCTCCAGTTTAGTTTCACCTGCCTCCAGCCCAGCTCTTCCTGCTCAGCCCTCAGCCCACCTACACCATGCTACCAGCCCAACCCTGTTCCCCAGCCCTCCTGTCCCTTAGCTCCTCCTCCAGTCCCCAGCTCAGTTCCCCAACTCCTAGTCTGGCTGCCTGGGATCCTGGTGATGAAGTAGTTAAGCGTTTGGCTGCTAACCAAAAGGTCGGCAGTTCAAATCCACCAGACGCTCCTTGGAAACCCTATGGGGCAGTTCTACTCTGTCCTGTAGGGTCGCTATGAGTCGGAATGGACTCAACGGCAACAGGTTTGGTTTTTGGTTTTGGCAAGGGAGAATCGCAATGTGGGGGGCAGGGGGAGGGTGGTGGTGGTGGGGTGCCCAGTACTGAATGCGCACAACCCCTTCCCCCAGGTGGAGACAATTGGGGACGCCTATATGGTGGCCTCGGGGCTGCCTCAGCGGAATGGGCAGCGGCACGCAGCGGAGATCGCTAACATGGCGCTGGACATTCTCAGTGCCGTGGGCTCCTTCCGCATGCGCCACATGTCCGAGGTGCCTGTGCGCATCCGCATCGGCCTGCACTCTGGTAACTCCCAGCCCTACCGGACTCCTGCCCGCCTTCTTTAGGGTCAGCTGCACGTTCGCTGTATAGTTGGCTTGTCTTGAAGATGCCTTTGCTACCAAGCACCTGGTTTTAATAGAGAGGTTATGCTTAGCATTGTGTGTTTATTTGAGGAGCTGGTGGAGATTAGGGGGTGCTTAGGTCCGCCCAAGGCCTGCCCAGCCGCCGGGCACAGCCAGATTTAGCCCAGGCCCCGCCGGCCAACCCCGCGCATCTCCGCAGGCCCCTGTGTGGCGGGCGTGGTGGGCCTCACCATGCCACGGTACTGCCTGTTTGGGGACACAGTCAACACCGCCTCGCGCATGGAGTCCACCGGGCTGCGTGAGTGTGACACAGGGGCGACAGGGGCTGCGAAGGGCAGGGAGACGCCTTGGGGCCCAAGGGAGACACGGCCTGGGAGGGGGGACGCAGGAGGTACGTCCCTAGCTCACGGCGGCCCCCGTCGTCCCAGCTTACCGTATCCACGTGAACATGAGCACCGTGCGGATTCTCTGCGCTCTGGACGAGGGCTTCCAGGTGGAGGTGCGAGGTCGCACCGAGCTGAAGGTGAGGCCCAGCCCCGCCTCGTCCTGCTGCCCCGCCCCACCCCGCCCCCTCCTGAACAGGGGATCGAAGACGGAGGTCCTATCCCGGATCCCTGGTCTACTCGTTCCACTTAGTCCTTGAGATCAACTCCCCTTAACCCCAGTCCGCTTAAGTCCGCCCCTCCCCTGTGTCTCTCAGGGCAAGGGCGTCGAGGACACTTACTGGCTGGTGGGCAGACGCGGCTTCAACAAGCCTATCCCTAAACCGCCCGATCTGCAGCCGGGGTGAGGGCCGGGCGTCTGCGGCGGGGCGAGGGACGGGCAGCGGCCAGGTCGTCCCCTTCCCTCTTTCTCCCTGCCTCCTGCCCTGTATCCGACCCGGAGCGAAACAGCGCTGACTGGGGCCCTGCCTCCTCTCATTCCCCTTCCCTGAGACCGCCGCCCTCTCCCCACAGGGCCAGTAACCACGGCATCAGCCTGCAGGAGATCCCCCCTGAGCGGCGCCAGAAGCTAGAGAAGGCGCGCCCGCGCCCGTTCCCGGGAAAGTGAGGCGGCTGTGGGCCAGGTGGGCCAGATCCCATGCCCAGCTCTGTCTCCCCGCAGACTCCACGGCCCACATGCCTGTGGAGGATACTTCCTGGGGGACAGGCGCCTCTTCCCCAGCCTGAGGGCCTAGTGTTGCCTGCAGGACTCCTTCGGACCCAAGCGAGATGGCCTGGGCTCAGTTAATCAGATCTCCCCTGAGAAGGGGAGCCCTCATTAAAAATGCAGGTTTCCAGAGCACCAACCACAGGAATTCTGGTTCAGTAGGTCTGGAGTGGGTCCAGGAATCCAGGCTTGGATTCATGACCTTGCAGTCATGACTTTCCTTGATCCCTCCAACCCGTATTAACAGGCCTCAGGAGCTGTGCATTGTAGGGGGCAACATCCACCAGACAAGCCTGATAAACTTCTCTTCTATTAGAGCAGAAGTCTTGCCCACACCCTCCTAGAAACTCTGATCCATGACCCTCCTCTGCCTTGGTGAGCCCCATGACCCCTCTCCCCAATTTCCCTCTGAGACATTACTTTTTCCCTCAGGATTGTTCCGGAAAGTCCTTTTCCTGAAAGTTGCTGCTATGCATGACCAAACGTCTGGCTAATGCTGGTGGCTTCTGTCCAGCTCTGCCTCTAAGGATTCTGGGGCTTTACAAGAGTTGGTTGCAAACCAGCTGTGCTGTGTGACCTTGGGAAAGTCTCATGCACTCTCTGGGCTTGGGTTCCCTTCAATGGTGAAATGAGGGATGGCCTAAGTGGTTTCCACAGCCCCTTCCAGCTTTAACAGCCGGGAGTCAGAACAGCTGGCCTCAGGATATGGGGCACTGTGGTATTTGGCTCCCAGCCCCCAAGGACCCTTAGCTCATCAGGGGATGTTACAGTGGGGGGTTCTCCACCTTCCAGGGCCCCTCAAGGCCCCAGAAAGGAGGGTCCAGGATTGGATGCTCCAACCCCAGAGTAAGTGGACACTTTGTGTTCCACCCTAGTAGGGGTTGTCCAGTGGCCTGAAGAGTGGACTTCTCTTTAACCTCAAGCCTCCTTCTCAACTCCATCTCTTGCTAACCAGAAACTGGCTCCTCCTCATGTGGGTGTAACCAGGTTACTTTCCCAAGTGCAGAGAAAAGCTTGCTTCAAGGCTTTGGGTAAAGAAGTTAAACCAACTGCACCAAACCTTTACTAACGAGAGCTCCGAAGGAATAGTATTCTCTGTTTAACTGGGTGCTGCTGAGCAGGTGGCTGGACGGGAAATCCTCTCTGCTTAGATCTTTGCAACAAGTGTCAGCCCTCTGTCCTGGTAAATCCCCAGCTGAAGTTTCCTTTGTGGAACTCTGATATTCCAGAGTCTGGGCCTCGAAACATTTTTGACTTTTGGTGCCCTTTGCCATTTTTGTGGTCCCTGGAAGAAGTTAGCAGCAGCTGCAGCCACCCAGGCTGTCACCACATGTGGTGAGTGTCCAGTACTTGGAGGCATGCAAGCAAGGAGACATCATTCACAAGGGATAGGACAGAGGGAAGTCCTAGGTGGAAGGATGAACTAAAGCCTTGGACGAGCAGCATTGACATCACCTGGGAGCTTATCCAGAATGTAGTATCTCATGCCGTGTTCCCAGAATCCGTATCTGCACTTTAACATGTTCCCGCAAAGGATTGATATGCACATTAAAGTTTTCAAAGCATGAAACTAAATGATCCTAAGATCTCTGTAATCTCAGAATCTCTAAGGTTTCATAAAAACCAAGCTATAGTCTGGTTATCAGACTTGTTTTCTTTAGCCTATGGAGTGGGTTTTTTTTGTTTGTTTGTTTTTGTTCTGCGCTAACATTAAAAAATCAAGAGATACCACATTTTAAAAATGTATACTAGATTTCCCTCTTCTCTTGAAATCGAAAGAGCTCGCCACACGGGGCTTACACAGCCCCTCAGCATTGCCCTGCTGGAGCTGAAGAGCGACAGTCCCCTTCATCCAGGACTTTCACCCCTCAGTTCTCAGTCCCCAACCCTTCCTGTTGCTCCAAGACACTCAGATTTTTGGAACACTCCTTGCGAAACTGTCAGGCGCTGGTGGGCATTTGAGCGCAGGACTCCTGTAGTATGTTAGGCTCATAAGCGCCCCCTGGAGGTTACGTTGTCTTTTTTTTTTTTTTTAAACTGATCAGTAAAATCAGCAAGTTTAGTGACCTTTCCCTTCTTCCTAAAGCTAGAGAAAGAATGTATAAGAAATCTAAAACCCAGTGCTTGCAGGTTCTGGTTACATAAGGTGGTGCTGCTATAGTGAGTAATTTAGTGCAATTTAAAAAATATTTTTAATTGAGTTCAGAGATGATGAATTAACGATAAAACTGACACTTAAAAAAAATAAGAACATTATTCAAGTTCTTAAATTTAATATTTGCTCTGTACTTCGGTCCTAGGGATTGAAGGCAGATTCGCATTGCTGGCATTGGGCTTAGCTGTTGGAGTGAGATGTTTCTCTCTTCCCGCCTCTTCCCACCCTGCCCCACGCATCCTTCTCAATCCTCCCTCCCTGCTTGCCCGTGCAGGGGCCAGGGCAAATCCATGGCGTGTAACTCAGGGAGGCTCAAGAAGTATGGGATCTGGGTTAGATGCAGGGAGATTAGCGTGGCAGGCTCGGGCAGGGCACCCCGGAGAGGAAGAGAAGGACCAGCCCGGGCAGTGGCGTCAGATCTGCCTGGGGTGAGGATGGGGCAGGCAGGACTGAGCCCGTCCCTTCCAACCCTCAACTCAGCCGAGTTGTCAGGCTGGTATGACTGGGGGAGGAGCCTGTGAAGAAGAGTCCAGTCCTCCTCCCCAGCTAGGAGAGCTTGGACGTCCCACCCCCAGGGCTCACAGACACGTGGAGAACTAAAGAAGAGGGGAGACTGAGCCTCCAGTCTGCTCTGCCCCTCGGTCCTTCCCCCTCTCTGCCCCAGTATCCCCTTCTTTCTCTGTCTCACTTCTCTCTGTCCCTCAGCCTCACCCTCTCTGCCTCAGTCTGTCCTTTCTCTGTCCCCCAGCCTCACCCTCTCTGCCTCAGTCTCCCCTTTCTCTGTTCCTCAGTCTCCCCACTCTCTACCCCTTAGCCTTGTTCTCTCTTCCCTGCAGTTTCTCCCTGCCTTCCTCTGCAGTTTCCCCCATTTCTGTGGAACCTTTCTTCCTGGCTCCAGCCAACTATCCAAACTTAGAGCCTGTTACTCCCCACCCACTGACCCTGTTGTTTCTGGTACCCGGGTAACTCCTAGCCCATGAGAACACCTGGCTTGGTCTTTAGGCAGCCCCACCCTTAGATGTTTACACTACCTCTGCCAGCTAGCCTACCCCAGGAGCCCATATTTGGGGCTGTCCTTGCCTTTGGGACAGCGCTTCAGCTGGGACCAGCGACAGCCAAAGCAGGGACCTTCCACAGCTGCTGCAGCAGTCCCAAAGCAGGGCTCCACCTCCTGTCCTGGGGCTCACCTGGGGCCTTTGTCTGTGCTGCTCTTCAGGCTCTGGGCCCTGCCCCCACCCCCGTCTGCAGTGGACCCCAGGCACCTTCCTTGTGGGGAGGTGGGGTGAGCTGTTCCTTGGCCTGGATTTGTAACACTGCATTGCTGGGCTGTGTTTCCCGGGATCTTCTGGACCACGCACTGTGTGCACCCGGCCATGTGCTGAGGTGTTTGGGTCCTGGGAAGGTGGGGGCTGAAATAAAGGTGTGCGTTCCTCCATTTCATGGTGTGTGGTCTTTTTGGCCTGGAGGGATGCTCTGATCATCCCTGTCCCTGGAATGTTCAAACCTGGCATTGCCTGGGAAGGTTTCAGATAGGATGACCCCTCAAGATGACTGGGGGTGGGGGGAGGAGGAGTGAGCTGGGGCCAACAACCCCCAGGATCTTCTCTGCTCAGGGGTCTGCTCTGAGGGGGTCAGGCAGGGAAACCTCAGGCCTTCAAGCTTCTGGAAAAGACCAGAATCTCTGAAGCTCTGGAAACAGGTGGTGTGCCCTCACCTCTTGGTCATAGGCATGAGAGAGGAAGGAGGATAAGGGCAAAGCTTGGCTGGGGCCATGATCCATGGCCCATGGAAGTCAGAGTCCAAGACTGAAGGAGCAGGACCCTCATATGGAAAAGTTAGGGTCCAGCCGGGGGCAGATTATCCAATAGGCAAGGTAAGCTATCAGATCATCTGGAGTGAACAATTTCACACTTTTTCACCACATCAAAGATTCTGCTTCTAGGTATGGCTGGCGTCTGTCTCCCAGCCCCACAGCACCTTTCTACAGAATCAAATCCTCTTTTCAAATTGCAATCCCTGACAGAGGTGGATTATGCAGTAAGCAAGGTAAGCACGGGCTTAATTGTGCTTACTTACTAATCAAAGATGTGGTGAAACCCATGTGAGATTGGTCTCTACAGATTAGTAAATCAGCACAAGGAAGCTGGTGCTTACCTTGCTTACTGGGTAATCCGTCCGGGTCCACCGATCTCTGGGCAGGACTTCACCAACACCCCACATTCCACCTTCTACCCACAAGTGCCTGCCACTGGGGCATCAAGGTAGGGTCGACCGTTTCAAAGCTACAATGGGTGACCAGCACATACATTTTCTTTGAGCCCAACTGTCCCTGGCCTGCAACCCAGTGTTGCTGACATTCTGACGCCATAACAGACATTAGCTGTACCATCTGCTGGTATGACAGGAAACCATCCTTGCCCCATTCACCATCTATGTGCTCAATCCTGCCCAATCATTCCATTCCTCTGGCGGCAGGGATTTCTTCAGGGCAGGCAGGTGACCTGGATGGCACACATGAGGCTCAGTGCTGGGATGTTGACTGAAGTTGTGCAAAGAAGTTGGCTGTTTTCTCTGGGGTTGCTGAGAGGATGGGACATGAGCTGTCTTGCCACCACAAAGACAGGACAGCAGAAACAAGGGATGGAGTGAAACTAGGTCCTGATGCCATTGACTGAGTCTCCACATCTAACTGGGTCTAAAGCCAGATCCAGCTGTTGAAGTAACATCCGCCACCACCACTTGCTGT